GGGGCATCGGGGAGCTTTCCTTCCTTCTCTCCCTCCCCCGGGCCGGCGGGAGGGAGGTGCGCGCGGCAGCGGGGCCTAGCAGGCCCAAAGAGCGCCGGAGAGCTTTCCTTTCTTCTCTCCCTTCCCCGGATTGGCGGGAGGGAAGAGCGCGCGATGGCAGGCCCTAACAGGGCCGAAGGGGCACCAAAGTCTTTTACTCCTTCTCTCTCTCCCCGGAGTCGACGGGAGGGGAGAGTGCGCGTCAGTGGGGCCTAGCAGGCCTGAAGGGCAACATCTGGAAGCCCACAGGTTCCCCATCCCTATGTTAAGATCATGTGCACAAAACCACAGTTAGCTTAAAGTTGAACTCTTCCTCTGGCACGTCCTTTATTCTACTATAATGCTAGCTTTATTCCCTAAAGCAGTTATGTGAAGGAATGAAGGTTTTTGTCATTTGCCAGATAACCTATATTTTTCTGGAGATACCTCTTGTCATCTTTTGTTTACCTAAGTCTATGATCACTGGTATAGTCCAAACAGACAGATTTATCATTGACATTCCACTAAAGCACTCTTAAGTACCGGAATTTAAGGTGGCAATGGGAAATCATATTCAACCATATTCAAGCAATACATAAGGCCATATCCATGCTGCATAATTATGGCAGTTTGGCACCATACTAACTACCATGGACCAATGCTATGGAATTCTGGAATTTGTATTTTGTGAGATTTTTACCTAATCCCAGGATTTCATAGGATTGAGCCATAGCACTTAAGGGAGTGTTGAACTAATTCTGCAGTGTAATGGTCTATAAATGAAGGAGGTGCGGAATAGGCTCTTTTTTCTCCCGCACACACCTTTGTCATCTAAGAAAGGGAAATAACTATGGGGAGTGTTCAGAAATAAAGCAGTACATTGCTGCCTCCAGTATCTGCTGCCTGAGGCTGTTGACTTATCCTGCCTCATGATAGGTCCAGCCCAAGTTCCAGGCCTATCTTCACAGCTCTTCAGCTTCAGAATATTCTCCATTATGCAGAATGTTAAGCTTGCCCAGAGAAATGTAGATGCCTGGCCCTTTATTTAGGGCCACCATAGCACTCTCTTGTAGTTGGTAAAGCTGAGTAATGAACAATAAATTTCTGTAGCATTGCTCCTGCATCCCAACAATATCCAACATTATTCCACTTTCCAATGTATCTGCAACTCCTTTCCTTTCACCATTACTTTGAAAGATACAGGGAAATGGAAACATACATTTCCTCCCTCCTGTATTTTTCCTAGCTATAAATTTCCTGTTGTTTTCAGTCATTTTCATCCTGAGGAATCATTAAGCAGAAGGATACAAGTGATCTCATTATCTGTCTGGTTTTGACCAGCTTCATTCCACTTATATTCATAATATGATTTATATACAAACTGAAACTGAATAGCTCTGGTGGCAGAATCCAGTATCTGAAGGTTTGGGAACCATCAGTGCCTTGGGCTTTTCAAAATTTGTCATGCAGTCCTGTTAGTCCAGCGTTCCCATACGAACAGCTTAGAAATGTTACTCTTTCAGTTTAAATCTATCTCTCAGAATCCCCCAGACAGTAAGGCCACTAACTATTTTGGCTGAGGGGGAATTCTGGGAGCTGAAATTCAATTAATAAAACTTTTCCAGAATGTTTCCAGACCTTTGCTGCAAGGAAGAAAGTTTTCTAAGTGCACCACTTGAGATCGAGTAGAGAAATGCATTGAGTTAATTGATGTAGGCATTAATTGCTATGTGCAGCATAGCCTTTTCTCTTTAAAACCAGTTTTTAAATTTCCTTTAAAATATGTTTTTACAGAATATTTTATGTATCTTTTACATCCTTTTTTGGGAGGGGTATAAAAAGTGATTGATAACTCAGACAGACAGATTTCGAATACTCTGCTAGAGAGCACTAGTTCAATATCCAACTTTAATGTTGATTTCTAATGAGTTCACAAGATTCTTCTGTAGGAAGCAATGGCAAGGAAATGACCAGTACTTTGTCTATATTGTGTAGAAAGACAGGTGATGCCTTGTAAACAAACAAGTCAGATACAGCTCATCAGTAATGTGTGGTGCCCTGCTAGGTGTCTCCAAAAATACAGATCATGGCCATATATTGTGCTTGCCCAGTATAACTCTGGACTGGTGCAGTTGTCCAGTGGTTATGCTACACCACTCTTCTGCTAAATGCCAATATTGTGCTACCAATTTAGTATCTCCCAATAACCCCCCCCCCCCTTACTTGAAAACTTAGGGACATAGGCACTGTCAAAAACTGAATATGGTTGAAAAGCAAAACCCAGACTTTTTTAAGCTTGTGAATGCAAGACTTAACACTAAATGGGACCCATTTGTATATTGAGTCAAGTAAGAGAGAAAAGGGGTAAAGCATTGTTGAACTGAGGGTTGAAAATGTGGTACATGGTTCTCATTTAAAGGGAAGTGTTGGAAAGCAGATGCCTTCTTGTTATCACAATGTGCAGCGGATAACACACACACACAGTGGCTGCTCCTGCAATCCCATTCAATGAAATGAAAGCATTGCAGGCAATTAGGAATACTTAAGCACTATCTAAGAATGTGCAGTTGTCTGACTGGAATCCCATTTGCTGTTACTAGCTAGAGTACATCCATTCCATCAGTTGTTGAATGGTGAGTAAATTGATTCAGTGACTCTAGTGTAATTATTTCTAGTTGACTCAACATCTCAATTCTAATAAAGACTAACAATAGGAGTTAGGCCCATGTACAGAATTCCTCTCACACAATCATGAACTGAATACATCTATTTCACAATGCCCAAAAAGTACAACCACATGTGAGAAGGAACCTACACAAACAAGATCCCAGATCCCACTGTGTTTACACTTTCAGACACCTGACAAAACAAGAGATGTATTGAGAATAAAGAAAGTCATCATACATTTATCTGTGTTGGGGGTTGTGAGAGCTTTGTTTCCCCCAAAGTAACTTTTTCTAGCTTATGGTATGATTTTCCGCAGGACAATTCTGCTTATCTCCTCTGTACTGGCAGCACAGGACCGGAGGGAAAGGAAATCTGCTTAGTCCGCCTGGTTTCCCTGTGGAGGTTTAATGAGTGGTTCTTCTCTTTTTCAGCCCTCAACGCAGAGAAATATGAAAAATTACAAAAAGAGAAGGAGGAGTTGGAAAAGAAGTTTGAGAATAAGCTGAGGAAGCTTGGCTGGGAACAGCAAGAAGAACTGCAAGCACTTGAAGAGCGACTCCAGTTGCAATATAGTGCTGAACTAGAGCACTTGCAAGAGGATCACCAGACACAGCTTGCTAAAATAAGGACTCAGCACCAAGAAAAGGTCAGTCATGGGATGCTAACATACCAGGCAGAAATCTGGACAGCAGTTTACAGCCACACATATTGCAGTGCCAAATACATTATGTCTGGTTTAATTATTTGTTTCCCTTTGAGTTACTCCCTAATGCAATAATAATAAAATAATAACCATAATAATAATTCTCACCTTTCCAGCACGTGTACTACATGTATAATGCCCTTCCTTCCTTCCTTCCTTCCTTCCTTCCTTCCTTCCTTCCTTCCTTCCTTCCTTCCTTCTTTCCTAATAGAAGTGTTCTTTCCAGTAGTCAACTTTCAGCAGACTTTGACAGTAGAGTCTTGCTCTAGAGGTCTAAACCTTTCTGGAAAGAACAATATAAACAAATCCACAAATATGGAAGGTCAATTGTAAAGCAAACTGAATAGAACACATATTAAAATCCCCAAGTCCAATTCCTAACCTTTCCTGGGATTTTCCCACTATCAGAAGTCTAATTACAGTACACTTTAACTCTAACTTAATTACAGTTAATCACACCTTTTGTGGTATAGCAATAATTTCATACTTACGAAAGCGTGGCCTCACTGAAAAGTAGGAGAGGGAAATATTGCATGGTTGGCATTCTCCTTGCAGTATCAGTTGTGGAGGCAATGATAAAATGGATGGCTTCTTAACCATCAGTTTCAGCAAAATTTCTTGGTAGCCCTTTTGAACATGATCAGCGAATGAAAAGTAGGCTATATAAACCTCTATGTATTTGGGGGGGGGGGCGTGAAGGACTATCAGGGAAGAGAGTATGTTCCGCATATAAAAGGTGCTAGACGTCAACCCCTGGCATCTCCAAATAGAGCTAGGAAAGAACTGTCCCTGAGAAGGCCTATGTTCCAATAGTACTTATAGAAAGTCCCAGATTCAATCCTGGATATATTTGGGTAGGATGGGAATAAATCTTGTCTGAGATTCATAGGAAGAGTTGCTAGAAGTCAGTGTGGCTGACAGTACTGAAATAGACATGGCAACAATCTAACTCAATATAAGACAATCTGATATAAATTGACCTTCTGTATCCACAAATTCTGCATTCAACTACCCATGGCTACAAAATATACCCCCCTCTTAAAAAAATGTAAACCTTAGCCACTTTGAGTCTCTTTTGTGGAAAGAAAAAGTATAGTATAAATAAAACAACAACAGCAACAACAACAACTCTGGCAAAGCCAGTAAAGGTGGTCCCAGTGCTGATTGGCACACTGGGTGAAATGCCTAAAGACCTTGGCCTGCACTTAAAAACAATTTGTGCTGACAAAATTACCATCTGTCAGCTGCAAATGGTCACCTTACTTGGATTTGCGCACATTATTCGCCGATACATCACACAATCCTGGACACATGGAAAGTGTCTGACGTGTGATAAAATACTAAAGCCAGCACAGTGTTTTTGTTTGCTGTGTTCTAATCTTGCTGTGTATCAAATAATAATAATTTGATTTTGCCATATTATGCAAACCACACAATTTTACTGTGCCATTGTATATAATGAGACTTAAGCATCCATGGACTTTGCTATCCACAAGGGATCCTGAAACCAAATCCCAGCAGATACCATTGGTTCACTGTATGATCCAAATGATTCAGGAATACGTATAAGAAGCAGAAAATTCCACACATGCCCTCCATACAGTGGTAATGAGACAGAGTAAATTCATCCTATCCTTAAAATGGAGGGGGCTAGTTGCCATTGATCATGGCTTTGAGCCATCATTAGCATTCTCAATTAATTTTGTCTAATCTTCTTTTGAAACTGTAAAAACTAATTTGAGTTTATCTAACTATGTTGCTTTATTGTGTGAACAGGTGGATGGCATTGTAGCACTTCAGGAAACCGCAGTACTAGAGATGGAAAATAGCCATATAGCTGCCATTGCAGTACTTCGAGATGAATATGAGCTCAAAGTTCAAGGTAATTCTGAAACACTGGTCATCCTAAATAGGAGATTACAACCTGTGGAAATGTTTTGGAGCACACAGTGGGTTATACAGGATACCATTTTCTTCTTCTGTATGTGCCCGATATGATTTCCCTCCTTCATCTCCAACCAAGTGTCAATACCAAATAATGTTTGCAAGATAAACAAGATATTCTTGTTGCTACCTTGGTACAATAGAATGTCTTTCCCAAGGATGTCTATGAGTTCCCACCATTTTGCATCTAGAGGTACCAATTTAACACCTGGATTTTTTGAAAAAGTGAAACAGCCTATATCCAGATTATATTGTAATGCTAAATCATCATTTTAATATTATAATAAACAATTGTTATTGGTTGAAACTTAGTCATACTTACACTGGGTTCACCAAAAGCAAGGGAAGTTAAAGCAGTGGGTTGGCATTTGGTGTTGTATTTTCAGGTTCATTAATTAAGAGTTATGGATGTGTAACAGAAGTTTGTAATGGGTAAAACAATGTAGTTTTCCTATCAGACTATGTCAATTCTTATTATTATGCTTATTTATGCCCCACTTTTTCTCTCCACAAGGAGACTGAAAGTGGCTAATTCTCACCCCACATCTTAACAGCCAGCAGCTGTATTGAGTGGAGGAGGTCTGCTGAGCTGCCAGGTTCAGAAAGGCTATTGTCCTCCCAACCCTGTTATATGCCTGTGGACAAACGTCAGCATGCTGGAAGGAGCAAAGACCACCAGCATTGAAGCGATGGTCTTCCGCCATCAAGTCCGCTGGACTGCCCACGTTGTCCAGATGCCCAACCACCATCTCCCAAAGCAGTTGCTCTACTCCGAACTCAAGAATGGAAAGTGGAATGTTGGTGGGCAGGAAAAGAGATTTAAAGATGGGCTCAAAGCCAACCTCAAAATCTCTGGCATAGACACTGAGAACTAGGAAGCCCTGACCCTTGAGCTCTCCAGCGGGAGGTCAGCTGTGACCAGCAGTGCTGCAGAATTTGAAGAGGCACGGATGAAGGGTGAAAGAGAGAAACGTGCCAGGAGGAAGGCGCGGCAAGCCAACCCCGACCAAGACCACTTTCCGCCTGGAAAACAATGCCCTCACTGTGGGAGAAGATGCAAGACTAGAATAGGGCTCCACAGCCACCTACGGATCCACAAGAATACTGATAATGGAAGACTGTCCTACTCGTCCAACGAAGGATCACCTAAACTTTGAAAGGCATTTTCCCAAGCTCTTAGTCAAACTCAGTTGTCCAAAGATGTTTTTCTCCTGAGATCCAGAGCAAGATGGTGCCCACTTTACAGTCTGTACATAAAAGGTGGATGGGTTGGCCAATGAGTTTTACTTCTCATTATTATCATCCATTCGATCTGATGCAACAGAATATTTTAAGAGCCTACGGCCATACTACCCTGGACAGACCAAATCTCATCTTATCTTGGAAGCCCAGCAGGGTCAGGCCTGGTTAGGATAGTTGAAGAAACCTAGGCATATACAGTTTTTTCCCCTTCAAATGAGTAACATAAGGAAATTCAGAGACTGCCATAACTGCCTTGAAATCTGCCACCTGAGTGTGGTCAATGTTAGGGGTTGACCCTGTTGAGTGGAAATCATTTGTTAAGGTCTTAGGTAGCTAACATTGCTACCTCAGATCATTTTAAACAGGTGGTGAAAACTTGTTTTCTGTTGCCCTGGAGACTAGGACGCGGAACAATGGCTTCAAACCTCAGGAAAGGAAATTTCACCTGAACATTAGGAAGAATTCCCTGACTGTGAGAGTATTCAGCAGTGGAACTCTCTGCACAGAGTGGGATGGGAGCTCCTTCTTTGGAGGCTTTTAAACAGAGGCTGGATGGCCATCTGTTGGGGTGCTTTGAATGCAATTTTCCTGCTTCTTGGCAGGGGGTTGGACTGGATGGCCCACAAGGTCTCTTTCAACTCTATAATTCTATGATTTTACGAAAGGGGCTGGAGCTGTGGCCTTGCGTATGCGGTAGAGGAAAGTACTTTGTTGGATTTGACAGTTTCTGCAGTTCGGGGTGGTGGCAGGGGATGTGAATATCCATGCCATAGCTTGACACACAAGAAGAATGGTAAGAAACTGCAAGTGAAGTCTGAAGAAACGATTTCTCCTTCTCTTGTGACTTGTACCTCTGCTCAAAAATTTACATGTTTATGAAGTATTTGAAGTGTCTGATAGAAGTACAGCTGTGACAAAATCACATATTTAAAATATGAATAGCTTAACTGTGCATGATTGAAAAATACATAGCAACATACTTTAGTCAAAAGAGGAAATGCATAAATTAGATGAAATGAATCGATAAATGCAGGCACAAGAGGAATATACATATAGATGAGCACATATTTCCATTCACATACACAAACGATCTAAAGCCTGACAACTCAGTACAGAAAAGGGGTGGGAATAAAATGAGGATAGATTTTTTAAAAAGACAACAGAATCAAAACTCAGAGATTTTTGTATTACCAGCATGCAGTATTTGGGCCCTGCCATTAATCTTTGGGCAGACCTCCTAACTGGCTAGGAAACACATACAATTTTTTGTATTACCTGCTGTCTATACTTGATTGTGGCATGAATGAAATGACATAGACAACAATTATATTCTATCTTAAAGTGCTTTTAGTGAACAGGATCAAATTAAATCAACAAAAGTTGATCCACTAAATGAAAACCAAGGAACAGATGAGAAAAAAAATAACCTCTTGCAGACAATGCACTGATATACGAGAGTGGATCAAAAAGTTTTGCCTCCTGTGTCATAAAAATGTTATGAATGAAGATATAACAGCAGAAGTTGCTACAGATCATAACCTAAACTATTCCCTATGCAAAACTACTGTTCAACATAGTCAACATCAATTTGTACACATTTGCGCCATCATTTAGCCCAGGAATCAAAACCATTTTGGAAAAATTCAAAGTATTGATTCATGACTCATGATTTTAAAGCTGTTTTAATGTCATTCAAGTCATTGAATCTGAAACCACATAGGTTGTCTTTCAGATATCCAAACAGGCAAAAGTCAGAAGGGGCCAAATCATAAACATTCTTCTTCAAGCGATTTTGGATTTCCATAGGTGCGCAACCTCCTTTTGCCAGAAATTCAATGGCGACTCTTTCTTTCAGCTTCATATTCATGGTTCTAATCAGTCAATCAGAAAACAAAAAGACTACATCAGTAGAGTAAGGTTACCTCTATCATATCATGCATAGATAGTCTAGTAACTGTGAAAGAAATAAAACATAGAGGGATGGAGGCATTACTTTTTGACCCATCCTTGTAGAAATGGCTCCATTGTTATAGGAGGTCAGGAGAAACATTCGATGTTCTGCTAACATTTGTGATCAATGTACACATGATAAAATAGATTACACACTTCTCAGGATTGATATCATAGCCCTGGTTTATATTAATATTCTTTCAAATTATTCTAGAGTTGTTCAGTTTAATCTATTTATGTTTTACAGTCATGCTTTTTATATCTAAAAGATAGATAAGCTCAGTTGTTGGAAAAAACCTCTCCCATTGAATATTGGAGTTGTGCTTGCCAGGTTTAATTGTTGTTGTGTATTCATTCAGTCGTTTCCGACTCTTTGTGACCTCATGGACCAGCCCACGCCAGATCCCCCTGTCGGCCGTCACCACCCCCATCTCCTTCAGAGTCAAGCCAGTCGCTTCAAGGATGCCATCCATCCACCTTGCCCTTGGTCGGCCCCTCTTCCTTTTTCCTTCCATTTTCCCCAGCATCATTGTCTTCTCCAAACTTTTCTGTCTTCTCATGATGTGGCCAAAGTATTTCATCTTTGCCTCTAATATCCTTCCCTCCAATGAGCAGTTGGGCTTTATTTCCTGCTGTATGGACTGGTTGGATCTTCTCGCGATCCAAGGCAGTCTCCGAATTTTCCTCCAACACCACAGTTCAAAAGCATCTATCTTCCTTCGCTCAGCCTTCCTTATGGTCCAGCTCTGGCATCCATAGGTTACTATAGGGAATACCATTGCTTTAACTATGTGGATCTTCGTTGCCAGTGTGATGTCTCTACTCTTCACTATTTTATCAAGATTGGTCATTCCTCTCCTCCCAAGAAGTAAACGTCTTCTGATATCCTGGCTGCAGTCTGTGTAATCTTTGCACCTAGAAATACAAAGTCTGTCACTGCCTCCACATTTTCTCCCTCTATTTGCCAGTTATCAATCATTCTTTTTGCCATAATCTTGGTTTTTTTATGTTTAGCTTCAACCCATCTTTTTCTTCTTTCACCTTGGTTAGAAGGCTCCTCAGCTCCTCCTTGCTGTCAGCCATCAGAGTAGTATCATCTGCATATCTAAGGTTGTTAATGTTTCTTCCAGCAATTTTAACCCCAGCCTTGCTTTTGTTAAGCCCGCACATCACATGATGTGTTCTGCATACAAGTTGAATAGGTTGGGTGAGAGCATACAACCCTGCCGTATGCCTTTCCCAATCTTGAAGCAGTCTGTTGTTTCGTGGTCAGTTCTTACTGTTGCTACTTGGTCCTTATAGACATTCCTCAGGAGAGAGACAAGGTGGCTTGGTATGCCCATACCACCAAGAACTTGCCACAATTTATTATGATCCACACAGTCAAAGGCTTTAGAATAGTCAATTAAACAGAAGTAGATGTTTTTCTGAAACTCCCTGCCTTTCTCCATTATCCAGTTGATATTGGCAGTTTGGTCTCTCGTTCCTCTGCCTTTTCTATGCCCAGCTTGTATATCTGGCAACTCTCACTCCACGTATTGCTGGAGTCTTCCTTGCAGGATCTTGAGTATTATCTTACTGGCATGTTAAATAAGTGCTACTGTACGAAAGTTTGAGCATTTTTAGCATTTCCCTTTTTTGGTATGGGGGATATAAGTTGATTCTTTCCAGTCTGATGGCCAGGTTTAATTATCAGTGTGTAATGCTCCCCAGTGTAGCATTGTGTGCTCTGCAAGTCTTCAGACCCCTCTAGTGGGTGAACTGAGCACTACAACAACTGATATGGGGAAAGGCTTCATTTATGAAGCCACTTTGTACCAATTAGTCCGGGTATTAAGTTTTTAAAATACACAACTTTAAAATGTAGTGGGTTGTTAAGCTGCAGATTCCTTTGGGATCAACTAATATTTCATTTTTATCAATAATAAAAATAGAGAAAAGGTTTATACACAGCACACCATCCAGCCCTTGACTTGAATAAACAATAAGAATTTATCCTAAAATTTAATGTACAGCATCGAAGTCTTTGGCTGAAATCCAGTTTGTGTGCTGTACTTTTTAAAGTGGCAGTGAGGGAAAGCAGACTGATAGCTCTGAGTAACCTATTACTTGCCTTTAAACAGAGCCTGGATGACCATCTGTTGGGAGTACTTTGATCAGAGATATTCCTTAATGGCAAGAGGTTGTACTGAATGGCCCCTGTAGTCTTTTCTATTTCTATGATTCTGTTATTCATCTTCTGTGATTATAGTCTTTAGCATCTTGCTGTTCATGCCAGTGCAGGCTTCTGGTCACTATATCCAATTCCAATTTTATTCTAAAAGTATTTGAAATTTGAAATCCTGAAAATACTAGAGACAAATAATGTCCCCTTATTGACTGATAAGATTATGATATTGCTGGTTTGCTCCTCCACGGTAATAGAGGCCAAGTAAGGTATGGAGCGCATGCTACAGTGTCATAACTGCTCCATTAGCCAATCTGACCTCGTATAACCCACTTTAAAAGCCAGGCTGCAAGTGAAAGGATTCTGCAGTATTGGTAAGCAGAGCAATGAATGATGAGGACATCTATTACTTACAAGCTACAAGTAACAACTGTGGCTGAGCTCTGGCAAAGCCAAGTTAGTATTCTTTTCTTTTTTCCCATGTCAGGAGCGACTTGAGAAACTGCAAGTCGCTTCTGATGTGAGAGAATTGGCCATCTGCAAGGATGTGGCACAGGGGATGCCCAGATGTTTTGATGTTTTTACCATCCTTGTGGGAGGCTTCCCTCATGTCCCCGCATGGGAAGCTGGAGCTGACAGAGGGAGCTCATTCATGCTCTCCCCATATTTGAACCTCCGACCTGTCAGTCTCCAGTCCTGCCCACACAACCCATTGCGCCACTGGGGTCAAGTTGAGTAATAGAAACAAAGAGATTGCATAAGCATTATTGTTCAGTCTACAATGTTTATTGTGTTTGATCATGGATATTTTATTAATCTTTTAAAACATGTTATGCTTTATTTGATTTCTAAATGTTTTATAAAGTGGGTTGATTTTCTCTTACATTTTACTGTAAATATTTTTAATTTACTGTACTTGGAACTACCTTCAAAGGAATGGCGGCAAATTAATTCATTAATTAATTAATTTTAATGGTAGGCCATCTCTTAAAGTTGGGCATTGGCCAGGACACCACTTAGGGGGATTATGGGTAAGGAGCACATCATATGTCTGTTTTAAAGCTAACACTGTGTTCTATTTGTTTTTCTTAACTTCCTTTAGAACTGAATTCTTCCCATGAGCTGGAAAAAAAAGAACTCGAAGAGAATTTTGAGAAGTTGCGTCTGTCACTGCAGGTAAAAACTTTATTGAGCTTTAAAAAATATAATTCATAACGAAGGCCTGTGTGACAGATACCTTCTCTGGGTTGCTCACACAGACACCAACCATTTGGCTCCTTTCATTCTCTTACAACAGTGGTTCTCAACCTTTTAGTTCTCAACCTTTTTTTGACCAGGGACACTTGACCAGGGACCACTCTCCAACATTGGTACCAAAAGGGTTATGAATCCATTTTTTGGTCAACTTTAGATTCAGTTTGGTTATTTGGGTGCTGATTCATCAGCTCTAGTTTCTGATACAGAACATATGCCATCCAGTAGTTGCCATCTGCTCGCCCACAGAAAACCATATTTAATAAACCTTGGCACTATAAGAGGGTTTCATGAGACCAGTCACTCTTGTTGCAATGATGTAGTAAAAGTGAAAGTACAGACCATATTTTAGTTCTTGCAGACCACAGGTGGTCCACGGACCACAGGTTGGGAACCACTATCCTACAATCTTTAAGCCAATTTCTTGGCTTTTACATTTGGTTAACTAAAATACTAGATAGGCAAATGTGTTTTGATTTGGGTTTGGATCTGTATTTGTAAACCAATTTCTCCTATAAACTATATTAAATGTATCAATATTGGGCAGTGATATAAAATTCAATAGTAAAGTTTATTGAAGGTCCAGACATCAAGTATGTAGCTGGCTGTATGCGTATTTCAATGTTTTAATATCAGCATGAACAACATGCAAAGAGAAAGCATGGCATAGTGCTTTGGATATTTGGGTTCAAAGCCCTGCTTGGCCAAGGAAACCCACTGGGTGACCTTGGGCAAGTAACACTCTCTTGGCCTCAGAGGATGGCAATCGTTCCATGAAAACCAACTACCGTAAAAATCGGCATACTAGACGACTTTCTAAGCCAAGAAAGTCATCTTAAAAGTGGGGGGGTCGTCTTGTGTGCCGGCTATAAGTTCCACCACTTGAGGATGCCGAGAGCGAGGGACGCGAGCAGCCATTAGAGGCCAAAGGGAGCCTGCTGGTATCGCAGCTCAGCGATCCTCCTCCTCCTCCCCCCTCCTTGCACAAGCCCAGCTGGCCATCACCCCCGGCAGCACTGCCGCTCCTCCTCCTCCCCGTCCTCCTCCTGAAAGAAAAAGGGGCAGAAGAGGCTGCCCCCAAGCCTTCCATTCCCGGCCTCTTTCTCTCTCTCCTCTCCTTCCTCAAACAGTGCTACTCAAGGAGAGTCAAAACAAAGGCACCTCCGAGAAAGTCCTGCTGGAGAAACTTCTTCTTTCTCCCTCCCCTCTTTGGGGTTTCTTTCCTGTCTCTGTGCTCAGCTCCCTCTGAAAGAACAGCCGCTCTTAAGTTTTAAAAGTTTTAAATAGCCTGCAGAGGGAGGAAGAAAAAGGTCTCTTTCCCCCGTTTTGTTTTGTTTCTGCAGCCAAGAACGAGGCAGCCTTAAAGGGGAAGTCCCAGTGCAAGGGCCATCTACTCTTAAAGGGGAATCCCCCCCCAAAAAACTGCCACAGATTCAGTGCCATGGAATCACAGGAGTTGTAGTTTTACAAGGTCCTTAGCCTTCCCTGTTTAAGAGAGCCAGTACCATACCAAACTACAAGTCCCAGTTTTCTATCAGATTGTTTTGAATTTCCACTCTCACAATTCCTAACAGCTACTGGCTGGGTTGCTGTGAGTTTTCCAGACTGTATAGCCATGTTCCAGAAGTGTCCTCTCCTGATGTTTTGCCCAGATCTATGCCAGGCATCCTTGGAGGTTGTGAGGTCTGTTGGAAACATGGCAAGTGGGGTTTATATATCTGTGGAAAGTCCAGGGTGGGAGAAAGAACTCTTGTCTGCTTGAGGCAAGTGGGAATGTTGCCATTGGCTACCTTGATTAGCATTGAATGGCCTTGCAGCTTCAAAGCCTGGCTGCTTCCTGCCTGGGGGAATCCTTTGTTGGGAGGTGTTAGTTGGTCCTGATTTTTTATTGTCTGGATTTCCCCTGCTTTTGAGTGTTGTTTTTTATTTACTGTCCTGATTTTAGAGGAGTTTTTTTTAAATACTGGTAGCCAGATTTTGTTCATTTTCATGGTTTCCTCCTTTCTGTTGAAATTGTCCACATGCTTCTTGTGGATTGCAATGGCTTCTCTGTGTAGTCTGACATGGTGGTTGTGAGAGTGGTCCAGCATTTCTGTGTTCTCAAATAATGCTGTTAGGAATTGTGGAAATTGAAGTCCAAAACACTTGGAGGGCTAAAGTTTGCCCATGCCCGATTTAGATCCATCTCCAAAAGGGTATATTCATCAAGCCCTTTGGGCATGACCTTGGAAATATCTGGTTGCAGTGCAAAATCTTCTCAAGTGTTGGGTTTTGGAAGCTGCAAAAGATGGCTTTAAGGCAACTTCTGTCCCCTCAGCTTACCAGTAGCTGCTGCATTTCCCACCCCCGGCTTATACTTGAATCAAAAAGTTTTCTCAGTTTTTTGTGGTAAAATTAGGTGCCTCAGTTTATATTCAGGTCAACTTATACTCAAGTATATACAGTATTTTCTTGATGTGTTAGGAAATACCTTCTTGTCAAAGAAGATAAATTTTGCATGCATTCTTTATATTTCTGGCAGGAGTGAGTGGGTTGGAATGGATGGCCATTGGAGTCCCAACTCTAGCGTTCTGTTGTTGTTGTTATTGTTAAGCAGAGTTGTATGGCCACCTGTTAGGAAGGCTTGCATTGTGTCTTCCTGCCTGGCAGGAATGGGGTTGGACTGAATGGTCATTGAGGTCCCTTCTATTATTATTGTTGTTGTTATTGCTATTATTGTTGTTATTGCTATTATTAAGTAGAACAGGATGGCCATCTGTCGGGAGGGCTTGGACATGTGTTCCTGTCTGGCAGAATTAGGGTTAGACTGGATGGCCGTTGGAGTCCCTTCCAATTCTAGGTTTCCATTATTGTTGTTGTTGTTGGGGAAAGGACATTGGACCCGGCCCTGGTCTCACTCTAGGTAAGGTAAGGTAAAAATTTATAGAACTTTATTACGCTCCATGGACCCACAACTGTTAAATAAATAATAAACATACAGGAGTTTACAGGTGAGGTAAAGGTTTTCTCCTGACGTTAAGTCCAGTCGTGTCCGGCTCTGGGGGTTGGCGCTCATCTCCATTTCTAAGCCGAAGAGCTGGATACTGCTTTGATAGTCTTGGATTTGAAATCAAATCTGATGTTTTTATTTTTTATTTTATTTGGTGTGCGATGGAAGAGGGGTGGTCTTATACGGCGAGTATATACCAAACTCTATATTTTAACTGGAAAAGTTGGGGGTCGTCTTATACGCCCAGTCGTCTTATATGCCAGAATATACGGTAGTCACAAATTGAATTGAAGGTAAACAGCAACTTTTAACACAAATACCAGATGGAACACTCCTTTTGCAGTCTGATTTCATAAGCAAAGACTCTCATGGTCATAGAGTTGGAAGAGGCCTCGTAAGTCATGAAATCTAGCTCTATGTTCAGTGTAGGAAATCCAGTTAGAGCAATTCCCAGCTCATAGCTGCCCAGCCTCTTTTGGTAGCTATCCAGAAGAATGACTCCATTGCCTCTCTAGTAAGTAATCAGTTCTAGTATCAATCACTCTTAAGGGTCTGGCTTGCTTAACATTGGCGTAGAAGTAAGCCAAGAGTCCCCAGTAAGAGATAGGAAAGAATCCTGCCTGGAACCTGGAGAGTTGCTGTCAACAATCAATAATCGGCTGGGGAAGAAATGCCCTGATTCAGTAGAAGATAGTTTCCTATGTACTTATGAACATTACAGGATATATGTGCCTAGGATTTGATGCAGTCTGGAACTCCATATGATCAAAGCCCAATCACAAACTTCTCTTTTTTGCATCATGTCTGTGAATATCACTGGAAGTGAGAGATACATCATGACAATGGCAGTAGGAAGTAAAGTCGCCTATGGGCTGAGAAAAGTGGTATATAAATAAAGTAAATAAATAAACAACTTTACTCTGATTTCCATTTATACATTCCCATTGATATGTTTTTTGAGTTGCCAAATGGGGCACTTTTCCCAACAGGTACTTTGTGTCAAGTTAAAAGCATCACACAGCAACTTTTGTTTGTGCTTCATATTAATTGCAGGACCAGGTAGACACCCTCACTTTTCAGAGCCAGTCTCTAAAGGATAAGGCAAAGCGATTTGAAGAGGCATTAAAGAAAAACACTGAAGAACAACTAGAGGTAACCAAATGATGTATCCTGAGTATGCAGTTTAGTATAACAAAAAGTCACCGCTTTGGTTTCTAGTGGATTTTTATCTTGGTAGGCAAGATCATAAGCATCCATAATATTGGGTAGAGTTGGCCCTCCGTATGCAAAGATTCTACATCCACGGATTTGTTTTTTGAAAAGATTAAAAAAATCAAAAGCAAAGCTTAATTTTGTCATTTTATATAAGGGATGCCATTTTATTATGCCATTGTATATCATGGGATATGAGCACATATTTTGGTACCCATTGGAGTCCTAGAACAAAGCCCCAGCAGATACTAAGGGCCTGCTGTAGTTTCATTGTGACAGCTTTGATCAACATCCTACATCTTCCTTGCATCTTGTTAATCAACACTCATGTAGTTATGTGGCAATTGCAAGTGTACCATCCCTTCTATGAAATGCTGGCATCTTGCACTCAATTGCCTACTTGTCAGTGTGCCTGCTATTTGTTCTCTCTTTGGGTGAATGATGAGTCAATACATCAGTAAATCCAACTGACTAAATTGTTCTACTTTAATTAGAACTAACAATAGGATTTAGGACCATGTAAAATGGTCGGACTTGTAGAACTTTGCTTACAAAAGCATGAACTGAATAGGACTAGTGTACAATCGTAAAAAAGTACTGCTGGTGCACCTACCCATGTGTGCCATGGAAATTTTGTCCCTAGTGTATTATTTATGACTATTTACAGACTACTTAGATCTTAATTTCAGCCTACTTTAGTAATCTGTGGTCAAATAACCAAAGCTGTTTGAAGCTCCCTTCTTGGGGTCAGCTGTCAAAGTAAAGCATAAATGCCCTTTGGCTTTACTTCCCGCTTCCTTCCTCCACTAGAAATTCACATGACGAGCACTCCTCCTTCTAATACAATCCCGCAAGATTAAGTCTTCTTTCCTGAATAAATATAAAGAGTAGAGATGGAAAGAATATTTAAAAAAATATTCTAATCAGAGACAAAAGCATGATTTTCTGGACAAATAAGAATATTTACCCTTTGGGACTTACTTTAGTCTAAGAATAATTAGGCCAAACCATGCTGAAAATAGCCTGAATTCTCTTGGTACAATCTGCCCTTGGTGTTCACTGGGGTTTGGTTTCAGGGTCCCCAGGGATGACAAAATCCATAGATGCAATTATATTATTGTATACAATCGTATTGGCAAACAACTCAAACAAGTGCTGGAGGATTTTTTTTCTAATATTTTCAAGACATGATTGTTTCACTTAGTGGATACAGAAACCATGGACATGGAGGACCAACTACTTCTAAATATATAAATACTTTTCAATTAACATATTTTTTTATTTTAATTCACTAACTATTAGTTAAATGAATTTACTTTAGTTAGGATTTTCCAGTAGAATTTCATTTAGCATTTCTGAATACAAAAAATATTTTGTGTAAAAAACAACTTTCCTCCACAGAAAATTTCCTTTCCACTCAAGAAAATCAATGTGCTTTCTTCCCCCCCCCCCCCAAATGGGCCTCACTTTTCTAGACACACACATACACATGTAAGTTTGGTTTAAATACCTGGATGTGTTTTAGATGGATCTGTTATGTTACCCTTTGGTCTTCATGCAGAACTTCTCACATGGCAGCTATCTACAGTTATCCATCCATATTTGTGGGTTTAACTTTTGTGGAATTGATTACTTGTGGAATTGATTAATATGGGTTCTCTAGGAATCTCTAGATTCTACAGGTTGTCTGTGGTCAACATCTCCCAGATACCTGTTATGTTTACATAGAGAGGGAGAGGCAATTTAGATGAAGGAGATATGGGACTCTGAGGTCTGAAGGGAAGGAAAAGGAAGATGAACTCTGCCCATGATTGCAACCTCATTTTCTTCTGTCTTCAAGCTGATATCAGTCCTTTTTTTGTCATCTGCAACACCCCATTTCCCTGCCTCACAAGGAACCCCCCCCCTCAAAAATGCATGATGGTTGCCAGGACAGAGGGAAAATACAGAACTGCATGGGCAAAGGGTTATGATTTGCTTGCTTGAGATAGCATTTGAGCAGTAAGTTCTGAAGGACTATTGACTCTTCAGAACTTGCTGGCCAAAATGCTACCTCAAGCAAGCAGCCATAGCCCTCTGTCCATGCTGGACTTTCACACTGGGAAGAAATATGGTTAAAATTATTTATTCTTGCCTACATGAACAAAAATGCACAAAAATTAACATCTGTGCTAAGTAAAGCCATTGCTTCTGTGTCTCATCACTCTTATTCCTCTTAGATTGCACTGGCTCCATACCAGCATTTAGAGGAAGACATGATTAGTATAAAAGAAGTTTTGGAAATGAAGAATCAACTCATTCATCAACAGGAAAAGAGAATCATGGAGCTAGAAAAACTGGTGAGCTCTCTCTTTGGTTCTTTCTTTAGCTTCCAATTGTTTCTAAAACAACATGACAGGTGCCGATATGGATGAAATAATTCATATATACATTAAAATAGAGATGTAGAGAATATTTATTGTCATTGGTTTCCTGGATGAAAGAAAAGAATTTCCCAAAACATGAGGAAACCTGATCAGGAAAAACAACACTGTGGCGAGAATTTTGTACAGTTGTCACCTGGTATTTTGCACAGCCTAAAAAATATCTTGAAAATTATTATGTGCAGAAATATCCACAAATACATGGCATTTGTTTCCAAGATGGCTGCAATTTGTGCCAAAAAGAAACCTTCCAGCCATGCATAAGGAAACATGTGTTTATCTGAAAATAGGTATGACTTTCTTTTGTTTTGCAAAATCGATTGATTTTCCTGCAAAAAAAATATGGATATTTCTGCACAGAATTATTTCTCCAAACTCTTCAGGATGTGTGACTATCTCATGAGGACTGGATAGAAACTTGATTGCTCTGCTGCAGAGAGAAAACTCTAGAAATTAAGTATTCTCGCATGTGAGAATGAAGTAGTCAAATACTTAAATCCTTACATCAGATGCACAGCAGAGATGCAAAGATACCTTCCTTAATTAAATGCCTTTTGGGAGAGCAACATCCAAGCTAAAGGTGAAAGCTGGCACTTTAGCTTAACCTCAGGCCACAACCGCACTGATCATTTAGTCCACTTTCAAACTGGTATTGAAGAAAGTGGTTTTGCTGTGCAGATGATTACAAAGGAAATCCTAGAACCAGTTTGAGACCCAGATGGTAATGACACAAACTACAAAGCACTAGTGCACCTTAAGGGGTTTCTTCCATGCATTTTTGTGTAGCTTTGGTGTCTGGCCACTGCAGTTTGAAGCTAGCTTTGAACTGCATTAAATGGTATTTGCAAATATGGTCTCAGTATGAGATGCCTGTTTCAAGTAGCAACTCTTGGATGCCAGACAGATCTTGGCAATGAACCCTATTTGCTAAGCTGATTGGCACTTATGGGGCCAGTAGTGCAGACAATTTAAGCTCTGAGGTCATCAAATTGTAAGAGCTGGCAAAACTCTAGCTGCCCAGCTTCTCTTTGAGCCCAGTCCTGTTACTCGTTCCTGTTGGAAAACTGCCCTATACTGACGTTAATGCTTCAGCTTCTGTAAACATATAACTATCCCTTCTGTTGCTCCAGGCTGAAAAGAACCTAATATTGGAAGAAAAGATTCAAGTACTTCGACAGCAAAACGAGGACCTCAGAGTCCGCATTGATCAGAACACCGTGGTGACAAGGTCGGTCTAAATAATTACTCCCGAGTTGAAATTGGAAATATAAATGGAGAGTTATAGTTACAGTTATAAAATGGCAACTTTCCTCAGGTGTGCTTAGGACAATATATAGAAGCAGTTCAGTGGAAGGAATATGACATTCATGTAGCTCATTGAGACTTTGTATACAATAGTACCTAAGGCTCATTCTGATGCGGGAACCGTTGACTTTATTGGGACTGACTTCCAAGCATAGATGGAAAGATCAGTTCATATCAGTTTCATGTGAGTTTAAAATATAACCCTACTTTCTTCCATTTTCTATATTTTATTAAAAAAAATACTGAACGTAAACTCAAATTTTCAGTTATGAAGTTTCTTTTCTAAAAGAGGTATAGCATTGTTCTTCCTTTGAAACTTTGAAACATGACACCTTACAATACAACATCTCAGCCATAGAATGATACTTTAAAGTGTTGGTGTGTTTTAATATTAATTCTGCTGCCTACAGAGCCCTCCATAAACAGAGCTTTCCTCCTTAGGAACTGTCAACAATACTCTTAACTGTGGATTAGTGCTGACTTGAAGTTTATTTTGCAAGCAGTTGATCGTCAACATCAATGCTGGAAACCTCTGGGTATTGGAGTACACATAACAGAAAACTTATATTTGTATGTTTTAAACTACACCACTTTGCATAGGGACAAAATTGTTTGTCTAACATGAGCACAATACACTGAATAATAGGCACGATAACACCACGTTTAAGACCACTATGGGTACCATGCCAGAATGAAGTCTGAACTTGACTTATCTTGGTATCCTCGCTTTGTTTGTAACTCTGCTGCATTCATTTTGTGAGTGCTTCTGTCCATTTTGTTGCTCTGAAAATCTTATGCAAAGCTGCAGCATGTTTATTTTGTTTTATTGCAACACACAATGCGTAAAGTTGAACAGACAGTTTGCAAAGGAATGCAAAAATAACAATGAACAATCCAAGTAGCTGTAGAAAGACAAATTATTCAGGAACTTTGATTGTTCTTGTGTGCGTTTTTTTCTAAAGAACACAAGTATTGCAGGGGATGCACTTAATTTGGAGCCTCCGGTGGCACAGCGGGTTAAACTACTGAAGTGCTGAACTTGCTGACTGAAAGGTCTCTGGTTCGAATCTGAGGAGTGGGGGTGAGCTTCCACTGTTAGTTCCAGCTTCTGTCAACCTAGCAGTTTGAAAACATGCAAATCTAAGTAGATGAATAGGTACTGCTCTGGCGGGAAGGTAACAGTGCTCCATGCAGTCATGCCGGCCACATGATCTTGGAGATGTCTACGGACTTAGAAATGGAGATGAGCACCACCTCCCCAGAGTCAGACTCGACTAGACTTGATGCCAGGGGGAAACCTTTACCTTTACTTACACTTAATACTCACCTTGCTTGAAGCTCCAATAGAAAAAATATAGTTATTTAGTAGTAAGTAAAAACTATCAGATCACAAATCCCTCAAGTAAACCCAAACATGCAGTTTTGTAAATGTATACATCTATAGTGAGTAAATATATGGCCGATGATGCAGACCTGCCAAAGTCTCCTCGTTTCCTCGTATGCTTGCTATTGGCCTGCCTCAGTTGCTGAACTCAGTGTTTTCTGAGGATCCTTGATTACCTGCCTCTACTCAATCTTCTGTCTGTCTCAGCAGGAACCGGTTCTCAGACAGCCACCCCTATGACTCGAGAATTTCTTGGCTACCTTTTTAATATCCGGTCGATATGCCATGCCTTGCTCTGACGTTAAAAGCCACTTCCACTGTAACCTGAACTGTCCATCAGCTTTTACCAGTGCATCAGCATCTGATGACACAGCAAAAGACAATCCTGACCCAATAGGCAGAAAAGAAATGCAATGTATTAATATAAAGGGCTAATATTTTGTTTCTTCTCATCAAAGCAAATTGTCTTTGGGCATATGCTGGGATTATCAAACAATCGAAACCCACCTGGCAGCAAAGACAAGCCCCTTGCTTGAAAACCCCTTTTGGAATTATCTTATGATCTAGAAAATTGATCATTTTGTGATTGTTTCTGCAAAATGGATGCTGTCCAAGAGGCATTTAGCATCATCTTGGATTTTTCAGTGTGTGCAAAAAGGACTGGACTCTGAGCATCCTTCCTTAGATCATTAGCAATATTAGCTTTTCTGGCTTTTAAACGTTATGAGTGTGTGCCACTGGCTCTACTAGCCTAGCAATGTCGGCTCTGATGGCAAGTGGCTCTCTGGTGTCTATTGACAGCCTATACTTCCATATTTTTAGCTATGGGTATCTGAGCTGCTGAACTTGCTGACTGAAAGGTTGCAGGTTCCAATCCGGGGAGCAATGTGAGCTCCCGCCATTAGCCTCAGCTTATGCCAACCTAGCAGTTCTAAAACATGCAAATGTGAGTAGATCATAGGTACCGCTCCGGTAGAAAGGTAACAGCAGTCCATGCAGTCATACCGGCCACATGACCTTGGCGGTGTCTATGGACAATGCCGGCTCTTTGGCTTAAAAATGAAGATGAGCACCAACCCCAGAGTCAGACATGACTGGACTTAATGTCAGGGGAAAACCTTTACCTTTACTATTGCGGCAGACCCATATGTCCTAATGGCACTAAATCTGGTCTGATCTTTGAGGCTAAGCAGGATCAGTCCTGGTTAATGCTTAGATGATAGACGATTGTAGGCTATATTTCAGAGGAATTGGCAAAACCACTCTGGATAATCCTTGCCTAAGAAAATCTGATGAAATTCAGGCACGAGCCATAGATCATTAGGCAACTTGAAGGCATGGGGGGAGGGGAAGAGAGAGAATATTAATATTACTTGCATGCAAAGCATGTGCTCTGCCACTGAACTGCGGTGCCTCTCTTGTGAAATAGCAAGATAATCTGTGCTTATGCTTACTTTCTACAATGGCTTAAGTTTGGTTCAGTCATGCATGCCCATTGCTCAATTACATTGCATCTGGATATTTTAGGGATGATATTGAAAGCTAAATGTCCAAATATGTGGGGGGTTTTACTGATGGGGAACCTTTGACCATAATTCTGCATCATCTACTTAGTTACATATCGATTCCTGCCTCAATCTCCCCCTATATCTACACAGCAGCCACTGTGAGCAACAAATATCTGTTCTCCTAGCAACTAACAAACAGATGATTGACATTGTCACCCCTTCTGTGAAATATCTCAGGTGTGACAGTATCTGTTGCAAACCCCCTTGAGAGATTACTCACAGGAGGGGAGTAGAAACATCAGTCAGTACTTCCTAATTGACCACCCCTCTATCTGTCACATCACCTGTTGTCCAGTAAGTGGAAGACTTCCATAGTATCTATGTAGTCCCTAAACCAAATGTGTAACTCTAGATTAGACATCTGTAACTGCATTAGCCAATTCTGGGCATTGCGGGTGCAGGTGGGGTAATTCGGATTGATGAAAATATTATTTGGAATGAGTTGTTAATGTGGCTTATTCACCTACGCATAAGTGCACTCAGAGTTGCAGTAGTGGTCACATAAACTGCATACATGGGTGGACCAGCCCAAAGATGAGTGATGTAAGATAGGACTGCTTGCCGTCCAGATTTTGTTGGATTTGTATTCCTATAATCTGTAGAAATTCCCCTTTCAAAGCAAGACTGATATGGAAGTTGTGATCCAACAATATATGAAAGGTCATATTAGGAAGTACTTTGTTTTGATATACAAATGAAGCTTGTAGTACCTTAGGAGATTATCACAAAGGCCCATGGATTTGCCCCACATCGGGGCAAATCCATGGGCTCCCAGCGGGGTGTGTGGAGTAGCCATCACTCTATGCCTTCCATTGCCTGCCTTACCTTGCCATTCCCATCACTACTGGGGAGGCAACACAGGAAGGCTCCTGTGTTGCTGCCATGGCAGCTTGCGCCACTTCATCTCCCTTTTCGGCGTAGAGCCCAACTGGAAGTGTCTGTGCATCGTGTGAAGGGCTCCATGCTGAAAATGGAGGTAAAGCAACAGATGATGAGCAAATCGGTCCATGTGATAAGGTAGTAAGAGAGTAACTGAAAAAAATGAAGTTGGTGGCATAAGCTTTCAGAGACTAAGGACCTTAGCGTAAAGGCCAGTGGAGGTAAATCAATGGGCTTCCAGGGAAGGGGGTGGAGAAACCACTGCTCCACATCTCGCATTGGCCACTATACCGTGCCCCTCATCCCATGGGAGGAAACATTGCCACCTGGCTTCCCCCCCCCCCCCCAATTGAAAGGAAGGCAACACAGGAAGGCTCTCGTGTTGACAGGGCAGTGGCGTGCTCTGCTTGCTCTCCCTTTTCAGCACAGAGTCCACCTGGAAGTGCCTGTATGTTGTGAAAAGGGTCTATGCTAAAAGGGGAGGGGAAGAGGCATACAATGGGAAAATCTGCCCGTCCAATGAGGTGGTAGGTCTACTTTCTCAAGTGCATGGAATGAAGTGTGTAGGAACAGATCTGTTCCTAGCTCACTCAGTGTGTACATCTGAGGAAGTAGAACATGGTTCTATAGCCCGAAAAAACCCACAAGAACCTAGTGATTCCAGCCATGAAAGCCTTCGACAAGACAATCTATGCATTGTACCAACTTGGTTCTCTCAGAGACTCTAAGGTACTAGGACATCCCTTTTACATTTTGATATTGCAGACTGACAAAGCTATGTCTTTAAAAATAAATAGCCATCATACTGATCTCTTGAAGAGAGAATATCTGTGCTTTCCTTGGGTGAAATCAGTGGCAGGAAGACAGTAGTGGGGGATGGTGGGAATAGAAAATCCATAACATCCAGGTCAACAATTTTGGGGAAGATTCTGTTTACAAAGCAAACACAATGACATGGTGGGAGCATTGTGGGACAGTGGGAGCATAATGTTACAAGCAAGTCCAGTCCTGATGGTGCCTTGTTTCCCTCTCCAGACAGTTATCTGAAGAAAATGCAAATCTTCAGGAGTATGTTGAAAAGGAAAGCAAGGAAAAGAAGAGGCTGAGTCGAACAAATGAAGAGCTGCTGTGGAAACTTCAGACCTCCGATCCGATCAGCCCTGTGAAACTGTCTCCAACCTCTCCAACCCACATGTATCGCTCTTCGTCAGGACCACCTACCCCTGCAAAAGTGAGCATGGTGCCAAGATGACCAGGCCAAGACAGCTGGTTCAGATGACTTAACCCTGATAATATCCCCATCTGCTGAATGTTATCAACCAAGAAAGTATTAACCACAGTAGAAATAGATATCTGGAAATGTCTACTGTTTCAATCTACTCTCTAGCTGCATATGGCTAGATGGCCTGCTCTTGCGGTTTCCAGTAACAGAAGCTCCTAGGAATGACATACTGATGCCATAGAATATCACAACTCAGTGTAATCTGTTGAACTAGAGCCAGAAGTAAAGGAAAATGTCTATGACTATTTGCTGTTCACTCGGAATGAACTTCTTTTTGCTGCAGTATTTCAGGTTAGTTGCCAAGTTCATATTTTGAATAGCGGTGTGTGTATGTGTTTGGGGCTCTAGTACGCATGGATGGTGCTGGCGTCCATGCACATAAACTGGGGTACACGTAAGGCAGGCATACACACTTCTGTATATGTAGCAGAATCTCTTTTGAACTGCATTTTTATATGAATTCTACACAAAAGTGCTGATATATTTTCATGACCATCAGCAATTTTCTAACATGTGCCTAAGAGTTATACTGAAATGAAATAATGTTTTTGTTAAAGCTTCCCAGGAATATTTCTACCCAAACTAAGAGAAAGTTACGCAAAAGTAGAAGCACCTTCCAAATGACCACCACGTGGTATATTTTCTAAAGCAAACACCAGCGACTTTTAAATTCTTAACTTGTTACTGCCTTCCAAAATAATTGATTTTCTAATTAATGCTAAACAAACATGGTCACTCATCCTATAGGACAGATTTTGAACTATTTGCATTAGAAAAGTAGAAAAGAGACTAGGAGGCCACCTCAATTCAGTTTGTCAAAATATCTCCATCTGTAACACATCTGTGGCTGTTTTCAAATGACATTTTTGAAGCTTCTGGATTAATAACAAGGCAATACGCGTGTAAGTATACATTTATAGGATGACGTCCCCCATCACAAAAAATTTTTTTTGATGCAATGGTCATGAAATCTAAAATGAAAGGGTCACTCTACAATTAACATACATGTTACATTTGCTTCTAAATTTAAGGTGTCTTGGATGTTTTCCATCCATATTTTGCCCTCTTTCACATAACACAATACCCAATTCTAGAAGGGTTTTTTTTCTTCATCCACCTGAAAGGCCCAACTGTACCATCAGCCCAAGCAGTAAGGGACTGCTAGTGATGCAGTCTGAAAAGTGCTGTCTCGATTCCCTTTGTTGTGATGTTCCCAAGGATCTGGGATTGCACGCACTATCAGCATCCTCCTCAATGTTGCCTAGGTTTATGGGCAGCTGCCGTCAGATTGGGAAGTAAGATTATCCTGGGCTGGACATGCTCATAAGTACTAATGATGTGAGCATAACCAGCCTCAAAACAAAATTTTGAGGAGTTTTGCTACCAATCAAACCACTGGATTTAACAACTCTGTCTTTTTTACAGCCATCTCAAGACTATTACCCAGTGTATATTTAGTACCAGCACCACATAGGACATTAGGACTGCTAGAACGTAGCTGGTTTCCTAGCGAATAGTGTAGCAGTCAATTTAGTGTTAGATCTTAAGAAGGTTCTTAAACATAAGCTAGACAGATGAAGAGGATAGAGCCAATGTCCCTTATTGTCTTTGATGTAATAGAAGGTGGGTTCCAGCATGTGTCAGATATGTTAGACTTAGCTTGTGAGAGCGTTAAATGTAGTATTGTCGAAGGCTTTCATGGCCGGAATCACTGGGTTGTAGGTTTTTTGGGCTGTATGGCCATGTTCTAGAAGCATTCTCTCCTGACATGAAAGGCACTACAAACTACTTCAACCAGAGAAGTCAGCCATAGCAGAGCACCTGATGAACCAACCTGGACACAGCATATTAATTGAGAACACAGAAATGCTGGACCACTCTAACAACTACCATGTCAGGCTACACAGAGAAGCCATTGAAATCCACAAGCATGTGGACAATTTCAACAGAAAAGAAGAAATCATGAACATGAACAAAAACTAGCTACCAGTATTTAAACCATTCTAAAATTATAACAGTAAATAAACAACAAAACTCAAACACAGGGGAACTCCAGACAAGAAACAATCAGAAACACCTAATCACCTCTCAACAAAGGATTTTCCCAGGCAGTAACAAGCCATACCTAAAAACTGTCTGACCATCAAATGCTCATCAAGGTGGCCAGCAGAAACATTCACACCTAGCTGCAAAAGAGTTCTTTCTGCCACCCTGGACTTTCCACAGATATATAAACCCAGTTTTCCTAGTTTCCAACAAACCTCACAACCTCTGAGGATGCCTGCCACAGATGCAGGCGAAATGTCAGGAGAGAATGCTTCTGGAACATTGCCATACAGCCCGAAAAACCTACAATAACCCAGTTAAATGTAGTGTTGGACAGTTGTGAAACACAAATCATAAACAAATGAAAAGTGGTTTTTAGATATCCATGTGATACGTTGATTCTCAGTTGGTGGCAAGGACTCCACCCATTTATAAAGTGCAATATTGCACAGCCACCTCTTGAGTCCCTTCAACCAGGGAAACTCAAAGTACCAAAGCCACCATGAGAAGAAGAAAAAGTGGGATTAGTCATTGTTCTCAGTGAGATTGTACAGATAATTTTATGGGGCTGTGGTATCTGGATATTTGACTTGCCTATGATGTGTAGGTTTAAGAGAGGTGCTGTAATTCAAGAAATAGTGTTGGTTGATTGCCACAGGTTTGTGGCCCAATTCCATGATGTACAAAATTAACAAGGTTGATTTTTTTAGGGAAATTTATTTTTATAGTTGCCTTGCATGATATTGTGATATTGAGTACATCTTTTTTAGATTAGGTCATGCTATGTTTGTAACAATCACACACGCCAGAACTGAATTTTGCGTATGAGCAAATAAAAATCAAGAATGGGATAAGTGTGGCAATGATCTACTGGTATAATTTTAGCCACTTTCCATACTGCAATTGTTAGAAGACCTATGTGACATCACAATACACTTGTTTTGTTGTTCTGTTACAATTTTGTGCAATGTTGGGTCATGCAAGCAATGTTACCACAATGTTGATGAATTTGGATTACCTTATGTTGCTTTGCAAGTTCTGTATCACTCATCACTTAGAGGCTAGTAAAGGAAGGTGGGTGGGCGGGACGGTGGGTAGGTGCGGGTTGTCCATGGGCTTCTCTGTTTATGCTGCTGCTTCCACCTGTCATCTACCACTTCCATATGCACCAAATTGCTTCCAATCATCATTGGGGGCGTTAGTTGTAGGGGACTGATAATAATAGATAAGGAAAATGTGTGACTTTCTAGATCTGGGACTGCAAGTCTTATATCCCCCTGACGACTGGACATGCTGGCTGGGATTGATGGAAGCTGGGGAGGGGTGTTTGGAGGGTTCCATGTTTCCTATCTCTTAACTCTTATCTCATTTATTTTGTACTGCTTCAATATCTCTGTTTCCAAAATGATGAGTTTGTGGTCCACTTCAAAAAACAAAATAGCACACTATAGCAGCTGAACAGCCCCTAAAGTTTATAAGCTTTCTTTGCATACCATTTGGCTGTACACATAAAGGTACAGCAAATTATAATTGGCACACAAAGAATAACTAGCTTTATGGTTTGGTCTTATGTTTAAAGGAGTGGCATCACTTTCAGGTACCACAAGCCATTATTGCAACTCAGGCAACTTTATAAAGCTGCAGCTGCTGTTTATAATATGTCACTGAGATCTTCTGTTCAAAGGAAGTGGGGAACAAACTCAATAGGCATCCCCAAGCCCTTTGAACCTCTATCCTTAAAATGTTTTTCTGTCATACCAAGGTTGGTAAAGATAAGATCAATCCATTTTTTTTTCATGTCAGGAGCGACTTGAGAAACTGCAAGTTGCTTCTGGTGTGAGAGAATTGGCCGTCTGCAAGGACATTGCCCAGGGGACACTCTATTTTGATGTTTTACCATCCTTGTGGGAGGCTTCTCTCATGTTCCCGCACAGGGAGCTGGAGCTGACAGAGGGAGCTCATCCACACTCTCCCCAGA